ACAGGCACACAGGAGTCTCTTTTACTACAGGTGCACAGCTGTAGATCGTACTCTGCTAGAACCTTGAGCAACAGGCATGGATACATGCAAGTGATACGTGAAACAGACAGGCACCTGGATGTGTAACATTCAGTGTTTCACCCCCCCCCGCCCCTCCCCCCCACCCACATTCATCGAATCGCCCACGGGCCGAGAATCTTCGGCGCGATACCCTTTACGACCTCAACTCTTCCTAGCAATTTTTCATGATTCTATTGAGCGTTCAAGCCTTCCTTCTCGGCACATGTAGCACAAGAGCACGGGCAAGCGTGAAGGACAGTCTATTTACTGGTAATGTAGTCCGGCTGAAATTTCCGATATCCAAGGTGCCCACCTCGTGCTGCATGTTTTACCCCAGAAGTTCGGGTTTTATGAACCCTTAGCAGCTTCATAACACCCTCCTTTCCAAACCCTGAAACTTACACCTGGTTTCAGGACAACCTACTGCCTCTGATGGTGCAGAACAGCCGCATCCTGGGAGTCCCGAGCCTTGCAGTTTTTCTCCGGGGCAGGGAGAGGGGGGTCGTAAGAAAGAGGTCTGAATCATTGGCAATCCAGGCATATCGCGATTGTTTTTCAGTGTTACGGCTTCTGTCGATCCTTATGTTCAGCAGAGACTTTAGGATTTTTTACGTACCCGAGCGCGCCTAAGTAGAAACCTCACCCAGAACCCAGGATTTTGCAAGCGAGGGCTGGGGTTTTCGGAGCTCCGCTCTGTGGCGTCGTCCGCAGTCTGGGAGCAGTTAAGGTCCGAGCCTACTTGAAAGCGAAGGCGCCCTTCGAGTACTCCTTGCTGAGGCGAGGTCTCTTCAAGCTCCCTGGCTGCACGTAGCCGCCGTAGCCCGATCCTGTGAGCCCAGTCCTTGGGCCAAGATCGAGACTCCCCTTAGCAGTAGGAGTACCACAGGATCTACTCCTGTAGTAGTGCCAGCAGCAGCAGCAGCAGCAGAAGCAGGAATGGTTTTGCTACTAGTACTAGTGCTAGTACTAGTGCTAGTACTAGTACTAGTACTAGTACTAGTACTAGTACTAGTAGTAGTAGTAGTAGTAGTAGTAGTAGTAGTAGTACACAGTGTCATAGGGTTCAGCATGATGCTGCAGAACGTATACAGATAGCTGATAAGGTTTTTTTGCTTTATGCCTACATCTAGTGTGTAAAGGCTCATACACCTGCACTGCTGGGAGTGAGATTCTGATCCTGGACCATGAATTCGAGGCCGAAGGTTAAAGGGTCTGAGCCCCCTGCGAAACTCGGAGTCTGTTCTGGCACGGGAATCGGGGCTTTGGGACTTACAGTTCGTTCGTGTCTGCTGACTCACGCTGACGACTGTTATGCAAAGCGGCGAAGGCTGCGTCGAGATGTGCCATACCTGAGGGAGTTCTTGCCGGGCCCAGAGTAGCAGGCCCGACATTTAGGCTTGGGCCATGACATTGGGCCCTGGCCTAGGGCCACACGATGCCCTGCCATCGCCGTATCAGCGACAAAAAGTGTCTTCTGTCTTCTTGTCAGTGGAGTGGCGCAGAGTCTTGGGATTCTGGTTTTCAAGCATCGCAAAGGTTTGCGTGCATGAGTGCAGAAGCAAGCTTGTGAATTGGCAAGTTCTGAGCCTCGCCAGCAGACCAAGTGATTCCACCGGAGCACTAAGTTAGCTTCATTTATTTGCTTATTCGATTGGTTGTGTATCCTCAGGATGCTAGGCTCCATGCCCAGCCCTCAAAACATGAACCTGAACACCCTGAATGCCCGAATCACTCAAATTCAGGAAGTATCCCCAGTACAAACCATTCTGACCCCTGCAAGGGTCCGCCGGCTTCGCCTCCGTCACTCCACCGCTCACCTGTTGTGCCTTTGTGGGTATAAGGGGGCGTTCAGGGGCTGGGGTAACTGTATCCACTCACAGTTGTACGTCACTCCTCCCCCCGGACAATGAGATTCGGGACTCACAAGCCGAATTTGTGTGGCTCGCTGGCTAAGGTGGCTCGCTCAGTCCAGCTGGCACCGGAGGGCGTGCGCTCTCCGAACGGCCCATTGACTCTCTGCTGACACCGGGGTTGGATACGATCTTTGTTGCACAGGCGTCTACATATTATCGGGTCGAGGGTCGAACTCGACCCCTGCGTTTTGTCACATTTCAGCATAGCGATGATATTCTCGACGACAATGTTCAGGGGCATGGTTGCGCTATTCCCTTCCAACCTCCTACTTGCACTATGTTGTGCTATGCAAGCAAAACCAGAAAGCCACACCAAGAAAACACAAAGGGCAAAAACCACGAATGCCAAAAACTTAAGACACTCAAAAGCAAAACAATTTTCCTGGGATCTTAGTCTTATTGAATGTCCCCGTACATACATTGGCAGGAGATGTTTTTGTTTTATTGTTTGTTTTGATGTTTGTTTCTTTCAGGATGGGTTTCGGTACTTGTGCCTACTCTGCGATTGCATTGCTGGTTTCCCGCGTGGCGGTGTTCCGGCACCGCGCGCATTCGACTTGATACATATTCAACACAATGACCAATTTGAATAAAAGCACTGTGCGTAAGTAGTCAGGTCTTGATCTTATCCATGTATATGTATCTCTGCATACACAAGTTCATAGTACCACGTATGTACAACCGGCTTTAACCATGAGTCTGTCTCCTTTTGTTATCATATATATCTATCTGCATCTTGATTGTCCTTACAAATGTTTCATGTCCACGTATGTACACACGCTAAATATTTTCGGATATTTTCGGTATTCACCCAAGATAGACAGGCAGGAACGAAAATATATAAATATGTCTATCTTTCTATCTATCTATCGATCTATCTATCTATCTATGTATCTATCTGTCTATCTATCTATCTATCTATCTATCTATTTAGCTATTTATAGACATTACAAAATTATTAGGAAACTGGGTTCGAAAGTATGAAGCCTGCACAGAACTAAAAAGCTTCATCAACACATGGTCTACAGTATAGGTTCTATGTGTATTCGTATGAAAGTAAAAACACATATTGAGTTCTTCATTGATGTGTGTATACGTCAACGGATTCCACTAGCTGCGTGGCCGCGTGGGAAGTATATGTTACAACAACCGCTGTTTGTATAAATGTTACGAAAGTTTTCCACAAAGGCACGCAGGTGCAGCATTCTCAGTATTCCCCAAAGACAGATAAGCAGATACATATATGTATCAATAGGCATGGAAAGGCATCTTGCTCTACGTGTATAACACTGTGAATTCTACATTGACAGATGATGAGTTTTCGTTGATTTGTCTTTTACCAACAGCATCCGTTTGCTTCGATCGCCTTTCAAGTATATGCGACTGCAAAAAAAAGACAAACTACCACATGCTTGAACGGTTACTGTCGTCACTGTTGTTGCTGCTGCTGGTATGTTACCGACACATGATGGATAAGACTGTACCTGTAAAGGTTTCCACGGTGAATCTCAACGAATAGGCCGTTACTATCGCGACGCAAAAGGAGAGTCCTGAAGCGACAGCGAGGAGTGTGTTAGCTTTGAACAGACCAGTTCTACGACGATTACTGTTGATGCTACTACCAGGAGGAGGGACTGGTGGTATCAGTGGCCTGCATGGTTAACAGTACGAGCACTAAAGCTGATAGGAATGCTTGGAGCAATGACGACGGTGGCACTTACTGACACCAGAACAAGAAGTTATGCTAGGAGCAGGCACCTCGTAGTACTGCTAAGAGCATCCAAGGTTTAGGGGCGGAAGCTTTGCAGGAACGTTGACAGGGGAATCGCAGGTTGCAAGAAGCCAAGACACAGGACTGCAGGTGCTGCAAGCTTCAGGGGCCCTCGGAACGTACAACTGCAGGGTTTGCAGGCTGCAAAAAAGGGTCGAACTCGAATCCCGCCTAACGCAATTCATGATGAGCCCAATAGTAATTTTCAGGAAGGGGTTGTTTGATATATTAAGTATGTGAGGTAGAGGGAAGGGTCAATGTCGATGTAGCGGAATTTTACCATGTTTGTTCTCGGCCGTAGTCAGGTAGCAAGATCTCAACTGTCCGAGTTTCCTTGTACCTCAGTTTAAAACCGTGCATATCTGTCTTACTGCTTCTCTCTGCTGAAATATATCAAAATGCATGGCTCGACTTTCGCCCTGCACGTAACAAACGTATATGTATGTGTATATGTATACACATATACATATACGCGTATGAGCATTCATCTGAAGGTCTCTGTCTGCGGAAAAACGGACTTAAGATGTGCCTGCGAAAGATCCGCGATGGGAAAGGAAAACAAACAAAATATCCGCGAACGTTTTTACGTAATTGACTTGCGGTATGTAGGACTTTGAAGAAAGTGCTATCCTTTCACAGGCATTCAGGTTTAAGGTGTGTTATCACACCTTGTCTCGGTGCACCCAAAGCCAAGGTTCGAGGCTTTCAGTATGATGCAAGACTAAGAGGAAGCTTGCGACTCTGTGGCAGGGTAGGAGGACCCTATGAGCCCGTATTGCCTAGAGCAATTACAGTTTCATAAACGGTGTGAGTTTGAGATTGTGTCATTTTTTTGGAAAATTCTAGGAGGTTTTCCGCGAAAGTCCCGCGAAAGCCGCCGCGAAAGACGGCCGGGCTTTTCAAGGCCATGACCTACAAAACTAACCACGACTCCTACTCCTACTCCTATTCCTCCGCCTATTCCTCCTCCTCATCCTGCTCCTGCTCTTGCTCCTGCTACTTCTGCCGCTGCGACTGCGACGACGTCGACGAGCATTACAAGCACGATCACCATCACGTACAAGTATACTACTACCGCGACAACGACGCCCGTCGATGCTTCCAACACATGGAAGCTCAGTATCAGTACAGAGCCGATCTGCCTTTCTAAGAGTACAGTTGTCTGGGTTTTGAACCTCGAAATATTGGATGCTGGAAGTTGGACGACTGAAGTACGATACCAAACATATCGGAAAACCGTTGAACATCGATGGGTACCTGCTTGCAACAGTTCTCATCATCCGACCGTGTTTGATTCCATCGTCAGAACTGAAGCCGTTTGTTTGTTACCAACCAAGTACAAAGATTCACATGCTGCTAAGCTCAGTTTCTTTGCAGACAAGTTGGTCAGACGCGACTTACAGTGGATCGCATTCTTCGCAAGTGCCCGTTCAGTTTCAAGGCGAACATCCTCAACAAAAACCCGCGCAAAAGCTGCATGATTCTTGTTTTAGAAATGTGTCATGGAGCGGCAGTCCTCGAGAAGCATGCCAGTGTGCCAATCAAGCATCTGATTGCCAAACATGCTCCTCTGTTGCGGCCTGTAGTTGTGCACACCGTTAGCCCGAATCTGTTCAGGAAGCTGTACAAAAGTACATGGGCATGATTTTCCACAATTCCATGGTGTGCCGCTTCACTACACGTACAAGTCGGCAATAGCTCACAAACGCATGCACCATGTGCATGCGAACATGCCTCGGATTGGTTTCAAACAAAGGCCCCCGCCTTGCCTCCACAAACGGCCCTTGACACTTTTTTGGCACAAGGTTCGACAAGCCAGTCAGGCGAAAGCGCTCACTGCAGAAAAATCTTTGTGGAGTGTGCTGTAGTTGCCTTTCTTTTCTCAATGTTCAGTGCTGCTTTACAAAAGCGCCGTGAAGCCTTTTCGAATTTTCATGTCGTTTGCACGGAATTGAAGAAGCTGGTACTAATTTGAGACAGCAGAATATGCGTGGTCTGTCTGTTTAGGAAACCGACTCCTCGAAAAGCCAATCATGCGTAGAAGCGATTCGAGAAATAGTCAGGGTTGTTTTGTTATCGGACGTTTCGGTAGATACCAATACTTCGGCGATATGGTGCAGTATGGTATTGCGCATCACTCCCCACCCCTCCGCGACACATGCGATACTGCGATACTAGTACTAACCGTTCGGCAAGCAGTGCGCTGCGGTTTGCGATAGATGTATAGTTGAAACAGCCCTGATGGTCGCTTAGTGAATCGCAGCTGATGTTGAATGGCTCTTGCAATTGATTACAGTTCACTCTTCTGAAATGTAATCACATTGGTGTGTTTCTGATTACTTGCGGTGACACTTTGCCTTAGCATCGAATTGGTGCAAGTCGAGTCACGTGGATCTCAGGAAAGATCCTCGGGGAACGATTAGCTTCTCCGGGGGTCACTCCTTCACGGCACCGTTTTTTGAGGCATCGGGCGCATGGCTTTGGGATTCATGGGTTTGGCTGTTCGGGTTCTTTCTCTTGCTGCGGCAGTGTCTGGACTCGGGAATTGGTGAAGTTACAATTTCTATTTCAAATTCGCTTGACTTCGGACTGTGGGGCTATGCTTTGCTGGGAGGACGGAGTATGTCGTGGGGAGGTACAGGAAGAATCGACTGCGCGTGCGACCTGAAGAGAAGTGTGGCTAAGGTATTCGCAA